TAGACTTGTTTCTCAGAAAAGTATCCCCTGAATCCATAAGCTATTAACTAGTATTAATGTATTAACTAGTATTTTACAGACTTTTATAAAATTCCTTACATTCATCTTCTTGTGCATATCTTTTCAATCTTTTCAATCCCTCTTCACACGAGTTTGTCATTACTGTCTTCTAAATACTGATTAGATCTGCAATACCTTCTTTGAAACTGGATGGTTGGTATCTTACACATCATCAACTGTTATCTCATCTAGATTTGTATAAAGGCACTAAAAAAGGTTGTGTAGTTTTCATCATCCTATTCCATACGGACCATAACAATAGCATCCCTGGCTCTATTCATCTCTGGTAACCTGCCTCCAGTCCTAAAGACAATTATGGATACCCTACAGGTAGGATACATGTAGTGTTTAATCTGGCATGTGCAATATTAATTTTTAAAAGATATCAGTATCTGAGGGGAGGGTGTCAAGAGGATGGAGTCAGGTTCTTCTCGGTGGTGCTGAGCAAGGACAGGAGGCAAAGGGCAGAAACTGATGCACCTGAAATTCCAGCTGAATATGAGGAAGAGCTTCCTTACTGTGCAGGTGGACCAAGCGCTGGAACAGATTGTCTCGAGAGATTGTGGAGTCTCCCTCACTGGAGATATTCAAGAACCATCTGGATGCAATCCTGTGTAATGTGCTCTAGGATGACCCTGTCTAAAGAGATGACCCACTGTGCTCTCTTCCAACTTTACCTGTTCTGTGAATCTGTGTGTGATTCCTCTCTCCAGCATTAGATCACTTACCCAAAGTTTCGAAGTCTAAGGTTCAAAAACTTCCTCTCCTACAGGAGTTTCTGCATTCTTACTTGACAGCAGAATACCAAAACCACCATGTATTTAAGCCACAGGCAGAATGGGAGCAGGCATATTGGAATCCCTCTCCCTTCAATCCCTTCTCATTGAAGCTTTACAGTTGTGCACAAAATTAAGACATATTCCCTAGAAAAGGGATGTCAGGAAACTCACAGCCCTGGACATGGCCCTATTTATTGTAACTAAGTAATTTTTCCATTGTCTTTTGTCAGAAAATATACAAGTCTTGAACAGCAAAAGATGTTACTAAGCTTAATGGACCAGGAATACTGTATGAATTTATCACTGACAGTGCTCCCTTAAAAAATGAAAAATTTCAGGTCAAACAGACCCTGCTGAATACAGATGACAGATCTTAATCAGAATTTGCCACCTTCTAAACAGGAGAGAATGGGGCTTGGAGGGCAAAGGAGGAGCAGTAAAGAAATTAGCATCTCCTCTAGCAGTTTTGGCAAGCTGCCTGTCTTTTCCTTCATTTATTTGTCCTTGCAAGTGTTTGAAAACAAAACCCACTGGAAAGATTAGGGGTTTTCTTTTTGCATTAGCAATCTGTCCCATTTTTCACAATAGCCAGAGTCCCCTTTGCTAGCCAGCATGTTGACTCTGATCCAAATGCCAGAAATGCTTATGGTAGCCAAAGTAACAGCCTTCAGCCAGACCCTAAGCAGTTCCCAGCACACAATGGGCACCAAATGGCTACATGACTGATGCACATCTGCTCTGTGTGTCCAAAGACTGACTTCTACAACCCACAGCGAAATATCAACTAAGGAAACTGTCAAGAACAGCTGAGCTTCCCTGATTGCTAACAGAGGGAAAAAACGTTGCTGATGCTTCCTTACATACCTTCTGGCCCCAACCATCTTCTGTCTTTATAGAGCAATGTAAGTTTCTACAGACTTATCCAGGAGACTTTGCAACATCTGGTAATGGGCAAGTGGTAGAGATGAGACCGTTCCCATGAAAGCAAATCTGTGCGGCAATAGCTTTTCTCCAAGGAGTAGCATTTGTGCTAATATTAGCATCCCACATAAGGTAGATCAGTTTTGTTTTCCTAGAAGCACAGGATAAATTCAGATTCAGAATAAATTTGGATTTAATTTCACCAAGTGGCCCATAACTTCATAAATGCTGAGCAATCAAGTCGAACTGTCAAGTAGCTGCCCTCTCTACAAACATACAAATCATACCACTGTAGTGCACAGTGATACAATAGTATAACAGCACTTGTCAGAAGCTCAGTAGAGTAACAGCTGCCTAGGTAAAAGTTACTGCGATAGCCCTTAAAAGAAGGCCTGGGAAGCCAGAGTGGTAACAGCTGAGGATGGAGAAACTAATGCTCAATGAAGACCATGCAGAGTAGAAAGCTTTAATCAATCTCTAGAAAATCAGAATGAGACCTTTTTAGGGACACACTATGCTATCTGTCTACTAAACAGCTTTTTGCCTTTACATTAAAAAAAGAATGAATGCTGTTTGGCATCAGTTAATTGCACCTAAAATAAATACAGAAAACCAGTGCCAGCACAGATTTCTAGAGGATTTTGCTCCACAGAGTCACTATCTTCTCCCATTTTCAAAATAGAAAAGTGACCAAAAATTGTAAGGCAAGTCATAAGTTAAAAAAATCCCCCAACTCAAACAACAAATGCTAGAGGCCTGGCTCATGACCAGAAAGTAATTCAGAGTCTTTCTGAAAAGGTGATAAGTAAGACTCAGGTTATGAATTTCAGAGGATATGAAAACAGCTAATACTTTTTATGGTACTATTCATAAAGTATGGCAATGCTTCTGAAACTGTAAGAAACTGCATAGAACCTACTTGAGCAGAAAACGTCTGTTAATAATTGAATATGACTGAAAGCAAAATTGAGACATGCTTTCAGAAAATAAGAAAGTGAGCCCCTTCCCTTACCTATGTTGTGTATTGTACCTCAGAACCAAATCCCAAAGAAACTAGGCTCTTGTTATAAACAATCATGTTATAACTCTGGAAATTGTATTCTTCGTGGATAAAGGAACAGAAAGAGAATGGAGAAAGAAGAATCTACCTTACTGGATTGAAATAATCTCTTTGGTGAAATAATTTATAAAGTTCTTATTTAAAAAAAACAACCAAACAAACACAAAACCCCCACAAAAAACTTCTCATTTCACTTGCCTTCATACCACCCTTCATCTCCTTCCTAATCCTCCGTGCATTACTTGGGCAGCAATCACAATCTGCTTCTCCAGACAAATCTCTCGGTCTGCAGGCAGCAGGGACACAAAAGGACTGAACAGCCTGGTGACTATTTTATAAAGTTAAATGGCATTGAAGTGAATATTTATGTGGTTTTTATTGTATCATTTCTGTCAAAAAGCCTCACCTCCTGAAGTGTGGCATTGGAGAATAAGTACATCAAATATATGAGACTGTACCCCATAAGATCCTCCTACATCCCAAACAAACTGAGACATTTTACCCCTTTCAGCAGAGCATACCCCCAACACTCTGGGGATTGCATGTATCTTTTTAGGAAAAGCTTATATGTCATTCATTCTTCTATGAGATCCATCTGTGGCAAGCAAGCAACAACGACCAAATTGACCAGAATTACAAACAACCTTCTCCAAGTCCTGTATTTTGACGAAGCCTCCCCCCCTCACCCACACCAACCCAAGCAGGACACAGTTTGCAAGACACTGCTAAAGAATCTTTTGCCCTGGAAAATGCCAGAGCTGGATGTAGAGCTGTTTCCAAAAACAGGGCCTGGGAGGAAAACAAAAGTGAAGTAATTTTAAATTAGAGTGAGAAAGGAAAAAAAATAGAGGATTCAAAAGAAGATACATCTGAAAAAATTAGTTTCTTTAATTGTAAGGAAAGAACAGTATTCAAACAATGGACTTGAAATACAGACATAAACCACAGCTGTTTCACTGAAGCAATTAAGACATTTTGCAGAAAACCAAATGCCAGTTTTAATACATGATGGGTTGAATTCTGACTGTAGAAAAAGGAAAGGAGTGGGGCTACATTTTGTAAAGGGTAATATGGAGAAGGGTTATCCCCAAACTAAACAGCACTGACATGGAAGACCAGTAGTACATAATGTGTGTCTTTTTAAGGACAAGATGCAGGCACAGCCCTTGGAGCTGCTCCCATCTACAGGTAACAAGTAAACGCTTGCACGGTCCAACTGAAAAGAAAATAAAAGAAAAATCCCCCAGGTATGTTCATCTACTAAAGACACAAAATCTGCTCCTTTGCTTTCTTCCCACTCCCAACCATCCCCTGCACTACAGAGCCTCTGTATTTAGCTCGCACATTGTCAACATTTTCCAGAACAACAATTATCTTGCAGATGGAAAAGGTATGCAGACCAAAAGGTATAAGCCTAGGATGATAAACAGAGATTGTTTGAGCCTCTCTGCTTGCACTGTGTTCTGAAATAAGTCTAGGAATTCTCTGACAGATATCTAGACCATCTTGAAGCTTTACATATTTTTATGAGTGACACCAGATGACACAGTGCTGGTAAAAGGACTAATGGTAACACCCATGTTACATGGCACAAGTTATGCTCCCTGCCCTTACCTTCACTCCAAGCAGGCACACTGAAATACTCCTGCTAGGAAATCTGGACAGGGGTAATATATACAAAATCAAAACCAGGCAAGGGTGAGAACAGCATACAGGTTGCAATTTACAGTAAGTTCAGCCTCAGAGATCAGGTCAGCCTTTAACTTCTAACACTTTTTTTATAAAAATTTTTAAGAATACACCAACCTGTTTCCCCAGAACACAGAGAACTGGACTAGACCAGTCCCCTGGGGCTACATTAGTTACATGGCCAGCATAGGGCTCACTCTCTTTGTCAGTCCATATTTTACTCAGTAACTATCGCAAGCCTGTGGCAAACCTGATCATCCTAAATGAAATAAAAGAAAAAAAATGAAAGCCACATCCCTCTTAAGACAAAAGCAGGCATCCCTTCTTAGATCCTCAACTCAGCTGAAGTCACCTGCTGCTTCTCACCTTGCAGAAAATGCAGTCCAATATAATGACCAAACTTAACAACCACAAAACAAATAGAACCACAAAACCTTTCCATGCCTAATCAGTTGCAGAAATGGAAAAAAAATTCCTTGAAATTTACTTACTGGCCGGACTTCCCCAGTGGTGTTGGTATACTGACGGGCCAGACCAAAGTCTAACATGTAGCACTTTCTGTATGTTGAAGGTAAGCGGCCCATGGCAAAATTTGACTAGACAAAGAAGGAAAGAAAAAAAATCAAATTAATACCAGCAACTTCGGTAAGACTGGCCATTTGTTAACAAAACTTTGTCATATAATTCCGCATGCTTCCGATGGAAACAAGTCAAAGAGATTAATTTTAAGATGCACCTTAAAAATCATGATTGGAGAATCATCGCCTTGTTAAGAAGTTCACTTTGCAGATAAGAGTCTGTGGAGTCTCAAAATAACTAAAATTCACATTAGCTTTGCTAAATTTCAGCTGCTCTGAGAAAGAGCTACACTTAACACCACTAGCTCTGCAGTGAGAGCTCCATCACTTGCATAACAGTCTGGAGTTACCGTAGACAAATGCTTCTGTTCATGGTTCAGCTTCTAGCCTGCATTATTCTGCCCTAACTCCCAGAATCATCATCCACAGTATTGCATTGCCTGAATCTATCTGAATATTCAGGCATCTAAAAACCACTGAGTTTGCTTCTTAGTAAATAAACCAATACAAGCATATGAAGCAGCTCCTCTTTTTAACCTCCATCCTTAAGTTCTATCCTTTACCATAATGGATGGCTGCTAAAGGATTTGTGGCCAATCACATCACTGACTGATTTTCAGCTGAATTTGATCATTTAAAAGCAGCTGATTTTAAAAGGTGCAAATGAATCTGCTGGAAGGAAGGTAGTCTCGAGTATGGTGTAGCAACAAGTGTTGAGGTCAAGCAGTGAAGAGCTGTAAGAAAAGGACTGGCTTCTACAGAGAAACTTGGAATTACTGTCCTTCACTTAGGCAGATGACCAACACCATGAGTGTGTTTCTGACACTAGAAACTGTGCTTCAATTTTTTGGCAATTGCTCAGAAAGGATTAAGAGGATGATTTAGCTACGTCAAATGCATGAAATAGCATTTATTCAAGTGATGGGTCACGGAGCAAGACTTCCTTTCTGAACTCCTTTAACAGTAATAATTGGTTGGGCTCCAAATGACTATTCAGAACTAGATTGCTTCATCACAGGATACTGAGTGGTACAAGTATGACTGACAGCTACCAACCCACCATGGCGCAGCCTCTGCCAATACAAGCTAGTTTGCTATGCACTTAAAGGAAGCACAATACTATATTACTATTCTGTATTTATAGAAAATAGCAAATGTGTCAGTGGCAGTGTGCAAGGAGACCTAAATGTATCTGCTGAGATCTGCCCATATTCAGACTGTCTTTATTGACTCAAGCAGAACAGACATACAACCAAAAGGAAAATTTTCAAAACAACATACAGGCTTGATGTCACGATGCAGGAATCCCACAGAGTGAATGGCTTCTATTGATTCTAGAATCTGTTTGCCTAATCGCAGCGTTGTGCTCAGCGTGAAAGTCCCTCGAGGCTGACTCCTTCTGAGATCTGCAAGATTTCGGCCCTGAAACAATCAATAAAACACTTAAACCATCACATGAAAACACAGCATTTCACAGCTTCAAGTGCTAACATGCAACCCCAAAAAAGCAGATATGCTACTCAGTCAGGTGCTCACCTTACATCTGCTTTATTTCTTGTATAAGATCTTCCAGTACTTCATTTTATCTTTTAAGTGATGTATTTGCTGATAAGTAGATACCAGACTGTTATCTTGGGGAATCAGCTGATGTACTATTTGTGAAATAGGCACGGTAGGGACAGCAGTGCCTCAGACTGCATGAGGCCAGCATCTCCTTATTGTTAAACTCAGACTATGCAGAAGCTGATTTAAGAACAACCTTTGACTGTTCCCTGAGCCTTTTAAAGATCAAGTACAAATTTGGTAAGCAAGGCATGAAGCCACTATCTATCACAGCTCACAGAAGCAGTTTCATCAGAAACTCCCTAGCGCACACTGTCTAGTCCAAGCTCAAGCCAGCATTGTTGTGGCAACATCACAATGGGGAAAGTTGTCTTATGAAGAGAACCATACCCAAAATCAGGAGAGGAGGATTTTTTCCAGAGACTTTATACTTATTAAAAGAAATTGCTAATTTACCTCCACTTGAAGAAATTTCTAGGGAAAACCAAAAAGGCTACCAGCTATGCATGGAAATGAAGTCATTTCGGCAAAATAAAAAAAAAAAAAAGGAAAAAAGGACAGTGTAAATGCAAGAAAAATCCCAGTGTTCTAGTGATAATAGATGAGTTCAAACAAAATTCCCAACAGAATATATATAAAAGATTCCAAACATCTGATGAGAAAACACAGATTGCTCTTCAAAGCAGTGAAATGCCATCTATTCATCCCTCCATTTCCAGTTCTCAAGTTATTTAGAGACATTAAGGTGCCAACTGCAATTGGCTCTTGAAGCTCTAGTCTCTCAAAGTGGTTTGACCCATGTTTCACTTCAGGGCTCTGGACCCTTGAACAACCACACCTGACACAGGTCAGCTAATAGGTACAACCAAGCCACAGCAGCTGGCCCAGGTTTGCTCCTTAACATGAACAAAATAAGACTAAGTCACTTCTCTAGTGCTTAACTTCTTAAATTTCTGTGACAGTTTACTAGAGCCAGCAGAGTTTTGTCATTGCTATCCTGAAACATCCAGGTTATTGAATTGACAGCAGATCTTTCTTTCCACTGTAAATCTCTTCCCTGGACACCAGCTCTCTTAACCAATGGTAACATGGAAAGCAAGGCAGATTTTTTCAGAGCTGCACACTGAAATGTGCCATAAATTTCCCCAGCTGTTTTGCGAGATGGTCTTAGACATCTGCTCTCCAGAAACAACCCAAGGCATGCGAATATCCAATACAACTACCAGGAAAAGACAGAAAATGAGCATTATTTTCCAAATAAACACCATCAGGCTGGGTATGAAACAGAGCAGACGCAGGGAATTGCAAAGCTTAGAGTGGAAGCCTCAGTCCCAATGACTGAAAAGAAAGGGAGAACTGTAGTACACAGCAGTCAGAGGAACACACAACAAACCAGGTCTCAGCAGGCCTTGAAGCTGAAGAAGAATTTTAGCCTGAAGGGTAAGAGTGCAAAACTAGCTAATGCTTTATGTATCGATGTCTTCACTTGCAAATAATGAAATTATTTTTAGCTCTATCTACTCTACGTGCTCAGTTACATAGCAAAAGAACAGGCTAGAAAGTAAAAGAATCCATGCAGAGAAGTTTTTTGCCAAGATAAAGTCCCTTTCATCATGCTTATTAAGGACAGGACTGGGGGGTTAGAAACCTTGTTCTTCCATGAGCTCCAGATTAGCCCTTTCAAGAATCATATTCGCACTCACACTGCAGCAGCACTAACAGCCAGGATTGTTTAGAGAGCAAAAGGACTTTTTCTATCCATAACTGCAGTTGGGATGCCAGTGATGCATAAAAGACAAACCCAAGCACCAGGAATTTAGTGAGTTTATACATTTTATATGCCTTGCAAAGCAGAACTATACTTCAAAAAAATTGGAAGTTTATTTTAAAGAAGTACTGGGGTCCGCTGGTAGCTACCATGTGGTAGCTACCCAAGTATTCACCCATACTGAATATCAGCAGTGTTCAAGCAGGAGTAAACACTTCCACAGCAAAAGCCAAGCTACTGCTGTTCTTGGGAGAGACAGGGGAGACAGAGATCGTGGCCTTTCATAGAGAAACAGTGCTGTTCATGTGACACCACTGGCTCTCACCGCACTCCGCCATCTGATACAAGACAAGTATTTTGAATGCTGCATCACAGTGCTCAGCAGGAAATATTTCAAACAGCTGCCACTGCTGCACAATACTCTGGGTTGCTCCTGTGAGCATTCTGAATGGAGTGCTTTTACCAGAAAGTTGTCAGAAAGCCATCTCAAATAGAAAAGCAGAGCTATGAAATATTTTAGTACATCTTGTCAACTGGAGCCATTCTGATGGATGTCACAGCAACACCACCCCTTCCCCTTGTCTCCCATTCCACTCTTTTTCTGTGTACAACGAAGTCTTTAGACCGGTGTTTGGTCTTATTCTCTCATTGCAAATCCTTCGCTGTGATGCCATCTCTATGGAACAGAAGAGAGAGGTGAAGAACAGAACTCACCTGAAGCTGCATAACTACATAATTGAATTTTTCATTTCTTCCACAGCCAATAAATCTGCAAACATGATCCTTCCCTGAAAAGAAACAGAAACATACAGAATGGAACTAAGACAACAACCCTGTGATCATGATTTTTAGAAAAATGGTTTCTGACCCAGGTCTGGTAACCATAAAGTGGTATCACATAAGGAGTTTTGCAGAACAGACTGATTATGTTTCTCTTTCCCAGTCTCGTAGCTCAGTAGAATACTGACGTTTAACAAGAAAGCTGCCTGTGACATGGCCGTGAGTGGAAATCAGTGTCCGGGTTCCTCAAATCCTGACACAGGCCACAAGTGAGAGTGTGACAAACTGCAGTTTATACCACCACGCACACACAACAACACCACAGCTACCACCACCCCTGAACTAAAGTGTGAGTAACGCACATGACCACAAGTTCACTGGTAGCACAGCTCAGCTTTACTCAGTAAATGCTCACTTGTACACACCACCACTACACCTGCCTATTAGCACTGCTTACCCTGAAACAGCTAATCTAATGTTACTCCAACGTGGACAAACCCTGATTTTAATAGACAGAGACATCTGGAAAAGAAAGATGCCCATGGAAAAAATCCACTGAAACATTCAAGCAATTCCATAACAACAGAAGGAAATAATATAAGTAATTCTGTGTCAAGTTCTGGCATGGTGTTAGAAGTACATACTACACCTATTCAGGCAAAATCAAACGAAATCAGCCACCTCACAATACGCAGTTAGTCCTCAGGGAGCGAGCAGAGGCTGTGGTTTCAGACCCTGACATGTAATGGATTTGCGATGGTTTGCTCTCTGGATTATCAGAAGGGGAAGTATGAGGCATGTGTTCCCCTAAAAGCAGACTACTGATAACAGAGCAAAAGTTGATGCACACCACAATGGTGAACACTTGGTTCCTGGTGAGGTTTCCAAGCAGGGAAGGGGGTGAGAATCACTGCATAGCTTTGCCCTATATGTCTCTGTAGCACTTGAGCAATGGTGATTTTTAAACCAAAGCTTATTGTTTGATACTTCCCAATTTTAAATAAAAAAAGGAAAAACATGAACACATACAGTAATCAGTAACTGCACTGCCCTCAGGGCCCTGCTATTGCTGTCATTGCACCATAGGTCTGGGGCATCAGAAACTGCTGGGGACAGCAAGATATGACAGAATAGGGATGTGGAGGGCAGCAGGAGACAAAGAAGCAGCTTTGTCACCGGAGAACCAGAGCCTTGACCAGAGCAATAGATACAGCTGTGGAATATGGAGCTTCATCCCAGGACTCCTGGTAAGAGCATCAAGATTCTGCCCTCCAGGGCCCACCAGCATCCCACAACAGAACACCCACACTCTCTCTGCTACCACAGGGAGATAACAGAGCTGCTGGCAACCAAAACTGGAGGGACAGAGACTCTGGCTGCTCCTTAATCCCTTCAGAAGAACAGGCTTAAAACAAACAAACCAACCAATCCTAATATCCACTAACATCTGGTTAGATGAGCAGGAAGGTTAAGTGTTTGCAGAGCCTTCATGTCTCTGGCATGGACATTATCCAGTTTCAGGACTGAATGCGCAAGACCATGCTGAAACCATCAAGGAACGTCACAAACTACCATATTTCAGGAAAAGATATTGAGAGATTAGGAGAGTACCCTCTTCAGTATGTGTCAGGGCAGCCTGCACGCTCTTCCCTGATCCTCGTTTCTCACATAACAAGCCCATGGCCTGTGTGTGCCCATGGGTACTGAGTGCCACTGGTTTCCTACTATTGGCAACTTCATTGTGAATTCAGTGTTGATTTTGACATACAGGTTTTTGGTTTTCTGAGGGAACTCCTTGAGACACTGTGTGGAAATACCACAATTCCTGCCCTGGGCATTACCAAGACTCAACTATCCCACATCTCTTCCTGCCATGGGTCCCAATATGCTGCTTGCCAATGTGACCCTCAAAGCCAGATTTGTGGCTACAAAGTAAACATATCTGAATAACCTCAGAAAGAATGAATTATATTTCTTTAGGAGTTCATGCTACTTCTGTGCTTCAGCAAACTGGCCATCTACACAGGTTTCAGACAGGATGGGCAGGTCAGTGCAAGCCCACACTCAACCCAGACATGATTCTCAGATTTGCACAGACCAGCCTGGCTTACTTACAGACACTGAGTTCCACTTGGCTTTGTTTGCCTTTCAGAGCACCAGGAGATGGATATTGAGGCAACAGCCAAAATGATAACTGTTTCTAGTTACAGTGCAAGCTATTGTGTGGTAAAAAAGGGTAAAATAGTAATTTTTTACACCCTTTTATTGTTTTAGATGATTGCAAAGCACCGATAGGCAGGACACCATGTGCTTTTTATTGCTGTAAAACTACAGACAACACCTCTGACAGGTAGAACCTGGCCATCTAAATCACTAATTTCAGCAAAACAGGAATGATAGTGTCCAATTATATGACTCAATACACATCCTTGCTAATTTGATACTTCCTCTTGTGATTTCAAGTGTATTTCTGAGACCTTCTGGTTTTGTTTTTTTGTAGGTTTGTTCTGTGTTTTTTTAATCAGTTTCCTCCACAGTACTATTGTTTTCTGGATCACACAATTTCACCAATAGAAAAAGCATTTAAGTTTTTAGTTTATTATCTTTGAGAATTGTTTGCATGTTTAGTATGGCAACATGTTTCCACTTTCTATAATTTTTGAAAATGATTAATTGACTGACAGTTCTGGATGACCTGCATCCCAAACTGACTTGATTTTATACTGAATCCTCCTTTCCAGCCTAAAATGGGCTTGGATCTGACCTGTTGGTCTTGGGAATTTAGGTGCTCTCTGGAACAGCTCTCCCATGCACTACTCTGCAACACAAGCAACACCAGGAAAATAAGAAGAAAGGAGGTGAGGGAAAACTGTGCCAATTTCTGCATGAAATAAAAAGAATATAACAAAGTGTAGAGAAAGCAGGCCATATTTAGAAGTAGTGCATATACAGGCAGCTGGTCATATGGATGGGATAAATGCTTGCAGCATCAAACCCTTTGGATTCTGGAAGCTTTTACCCATCTTTCATCTAAAGGAGGCAGCAGATTACAACTGTTTGCTCTCTTGGAACAGTTCATGCCATGCTGAAGTAGCAGATGGAGGCTGACAGTCAGGTGTGACTTAGGGATTCCTGCAGATCAGTCCTGAGGCTGATCAGAACACTGAAGCGCACAAGAACAATTGTGTTAATAACCTCCTGTGCAGCCAGGATGATGGAACTGTCATATTTCCCTTTAAGGTAGCAGGAAATAGCCCCCACTTCTCATACATGCCCTCCTCAAGCATGGAGATCATAGCACAGAGAGTATCAAAGCATATTTTAACCCAGAAAAGAAAGAAAAGGGTGAAAAAAAGGTTTTTTCAAGGTATGTCTAGTATGGGAAGCCTCATAACTATTTTACTGCACTAACTGCTAGATGACACTTACTCCTTTGCTAGACTATTATGCTCAACAGCCACCCTGATATTACAGAGGATCAGAAGTTATACCATAGAAAATACGCTCTATATCTGTATTTGTTAATTTCTTAAACCATACAAATATCTTCCAACAAAGTAAAGAACAGAGCAACAGATTATAAAGAGTTTTGTCCTGTTAACTAACACTGGAGGAATAAGTCAGCCTGATGCTGACTTGAGAAAAGTTTCAGAGTGTTTTGTTTCACAAGCATTTAGTTAAGGCAAAATTTTAATGTTAAGTCATAGGAAAATATTCTTTCTACAGTTGTCTTTTAACTACAATGAACATAATAATCTCCCACATAATATTGGGTAAAAATTACAAATATTTCAGTCACCGAAATGGTCTTCACCATCCTTGTTCTGAAGAAACTTAAAAATTACAGTCTATAATTATGGTCTCATGTATAAAAATAACTTCAAGTATTTGGAAAACCCTTCCACCCTATGATAGATACTCATCATCTTGTAGAGATGTGATTAAAAGCCCCATTTTAATACTTTAAAACTTTCATTACATGAAAAACTTTCATTACACAGAACTTAAGAAAACTAAATTATGATCCTTTTTTGAGTCTATTTTTTCACATGGATGAATTTCAAACTGCTGGACACCAATATTCATTCCAATCTTCTACTCCTTTAAGTTCTTAAATATTCTTCATGTATTTTCAATATAGCAATGAAAGTAATAAAATAAATATTAGGAAATAAATATGTGATATTATCATTGCAATTTGAAGTTGTTGGGTTTTTTTTACAGACTCCATATTTCCTGTGTTTTCACCTGCAGACAAGCAGTAACCGCTCTTCTCCACAAAGGAGTTAAAAATTTTAATCTTTTTATTTTATGCTAAAATTTTATGATTCATCTCCATTGATTAGCTGTCTCATTCCTAACAGTCCACCCAAAACACTACAGTAACTTCTACTGCACGGATTATCATAAATCTCAGTGCAATTGTTACTCTTATTACTGTTACCTTACCACTTCCTGCATTTTCTCCTGCACAAGACCAACACCGACATAACAGCAGGAATTCAGCAGTGCCCACTAGGACGGTGGCAGGGAAAGGAGAATGTAACATTAACAAAAAAAATCAGAGCATTGGGTTTGTTCAGCCTCTAGGAAGGCAATAGAAGGGAAACCATCTGCTGGTTGGAGCCACCAAATAGAAGAGTGCTAATAAGATGGAGTTTGACTTTTTCTCAGAGTCTGTCCTGGTTTCAGCTGGGATAGAGTTCATTTCGTTCCTAGTAGCTGGTGCAGTGCTTTTGTATTTAGGATGAGAATAATGTTGATAACACAGGGATGTTTTGGCCATTGCTCAGTAGTGCCTACCCTAAGTCCAGAACTCTTCAGTGTCCCTGCTCTGATGCACAACAAGGCAGGAGGGAGCACAGATGGGACAGCTGACCCAGACAGGCCAAAGGTATGTTCCATACCACAGAATGTCATGTCCAGTATATAAACTGGAAGGAGTTGGCCAGGAGCCACATATTGCTGCTTGGGAATGGGCTGGGCATTGGTCAGAAGGTGGTGCATC